CTGCAGATTTTTGGGTCACATCATCTATGTTTATATAAGGAAGAAAAGGAAAATGTTAGGGGTACATATTTTGACTTCTATTTGTCCCTGAAAAAGAGCCAGGAACTAAAAGGGTACTCTTAGGTCAGGGGTGTCCCATGTCGGCCCTGGAGGGCCACTGTCCTGCAGAGTGTAGCTCCAACTTGCCTCAAAACTCCTTGCCGGAAGTTTATAGTGAGACCTTGATTAGCTGGTTCAGGTGTGTTTAATTGGTGTTGGTGCTAAACTTTTCAGGACAGTGGCCCTCCAGGAGCAGGATTAGACACCCCTGTTAGAAATTAGAAATGTGGTAAGACTTTACAATAAGCTTTCATTTGTTAACATTAGGAAACTGCATTACTGAACTTTTCATCCCATGTTTTTTTTTAACATTTTATTTCCAGTGTTCAATATTTTTAACAGTACGGAATGATAAACTGACATTCCCTGTGACCTTCTCAACCTGTAACTGCAGCCTACCAGCAGCTGCACACCTGTATCCAGGCTTTTCCCCCTTCCTTCCTCCCTCGTTTTCAATGTTATGCGAGTTTCTTGTTCAGGCTATTCTGAGTCTTTTCTAGGGCCCCCAAGCCTGCATCCTGCCTTGGTTTCGGAGAGAGACAGCCATATTGAGCATGACAAAGTGGGCTCCCCCAGTTGAGGGGGGCAGGCAGCTTGGCAAAGACCCATGCATTCAGAAGCAGGTATTGATTTGAGGGTCAGTAAGTCTAGTGGAGAAACCTGACTCCCCTCAGCTGTGATAATGGCCCATGTTCCCTCAGGAAATACCTGCCCAGTGAGAAAGAGAGAGGTTAGGAGAGAGAGCGAGAAAGAGTAACAGCATTTCTATTGTTCATGTAGCCGGAGTTGATGAGGGCAGAGTGACAACCCTAAACAGCAGCTCCACCCAGAGATAGACGTGAGCCAGCCAAGCCTGAGATCACTAACCTTTGCCATTAGCAACTGAGATTAGTAGAAGTGATAATAAATACAAATGTGGCTATTTACTTTCCAAGAGAATATTTTGCACATTCACCTGCACGTCATTGCACATTAAGGTTCTGTTTAAAATACAGACTTCTGAATGTCTGAAAATCTTGGAAATACTTTAATTCAAACCCGAATTCTCAATTCATAAATTGTGAGTATACACAAATATGGCTATTTATTCATTTTTGAGGAAATCTGAGAGGTTTCTGTCCCTCTGGTGTGTCACAACTACCCCTTTGTAAAGCATTGAGCAGTTTAGTCCAAATTTTCTGAAGAGACACGGTCATTTAATGAACAGATTTAATTAAAGGAGAACTCCGGTCAATTTTAACATTGAGCTCATTTTTTTGGACATTTGGAGTGCTGTCAGTACAGATAAAAACGACAAAAATCGGTGTTGCCTACACCGTGTTATCGTCTTTTTAAAATGCGCACCCTGTTGACTTCAATGGGGCAAGTTCTAAACCTGTTTTTAGCTTCCTAACATCCTTGATTTGTCAATATGAGTGCACAGCCATGTGAGTTGTGTTATTAAGAGTGACCACGGTCAATCTGACTGCAGTAGATGTGATATAGAAGATATGGCATTCATAGAAGATATGAATGAAAATAATGTTAATTCAGCCTGTTTTCGTTCGAAGCTCACAGTTGTTGATTGTCGAGTTCACGCGCACAATCATTGGTGAATTTCATCTTAAACCTACCACTGTGTGGTGTTCTGAGAATATCAGCTCAAATGGATAGTTCGCACGGAGGAGGTTTGAGATGATATTCACTAATGATCGCGTGCGTAAGATCGACAATCGACAAAATTTTTTGTCGTTTTTGACTGTACTGACAGCACTCCAAATGTACAAAAAAATTAGCTCTATGTTAAAATTGACCGGAGTTCTCCTTTAAGGCTTTTATTCAAATATAAACATTCATCAACACATCTATTGTGGAAAATGGAAGCTCAAGCATGTTCGCTTGGGGTTCATTCTGATGCATTCAGCATATTTGAGCTTCCGCAAGAACCAATGAGGTTCGTTCTCGCGTGTCAAGCAAGTTCAGTTAAGCTTCTGTTTATGTTCACTCACCAATGTTTATATGTGAATAAAAACTAAATTAAACTTTTTCATCATAAAATGATCATGTCTCTTCAGAAATTTTGACTAAACTGCTGAATTTATATGGATTAGTTTTACAATCTCTTAATTAAGCTTTTTGAGCGTCAAAGTGGTAGTTCCATATCTGTCAATGGAGGGACCGAAAGCTCTCAGAGAAAAAATATTAAGGCTTGGAACGACATGAGGATGAGTACTTAATGAAAAAATTTTTGGGTGAACTAATCATTTAATGTTTTTTTTTAATTAAAAAAACATTTTATTTGAAGATTAAAAAAAAGATTACAGTCAACTGTTTTATCATTGTAATTAACCCTTATATAATACAATGTGCAATATTATCACCTTAATCATAGAAGAGGTCAATTCAAGTCGTTGTTTGCCTGATTTTTTTTATATAAATGAATAGATAATAGTTAATAGAATTTATAAAAATGAATATTCATCTATTCAAGTTTTTTTTTCAAATATTCAATATTCAAGTTTTTTTCAAAAGCAATAGTTTAACATTTCTAACTATCAGCTAACCTCAGCAATGCGTCATATGTTGCAGCTTCACCTGTCTCATATGTTTCCAGCCCGTTCTCATGCCAAGGCGACATAGCCTGACACTTTTGACAATGTGTATATTGTATATTGTCACTTTTGACGCCTCCTAGTGGTCTAACCCTAACCCTACCACAGACCTAAACCTACCCATAACCGAAGCATGTTATAGGGTGCCATGTGCGTCGGATTTAGATGCAAACGCCACTAGGATGAGAATGCGATGATGTTTCTTGACATGCTCTTCACCTCTTAGTCTGGTATCTTTAAGGCTGATGAATGGCTCTGCTGATGTCTTAATTATCAGTGTGGAGAAATGTAATGAAAAGCACCATTAGGCATAATTGAAGGTTTTGATGGGGCCATTAATGGAGAGGGGAAAAGTGTAACTGTTCATTTTCATCACAAATTACCACACTGTGAAGCAGCAGTCTGATGACAGGTACAGAGAAGTTGTGGTATGTGTTAAACTGATATCTCACTCCTCCCCTTCCAGAGATTTTAGCCAGAATCTAAATGTAATTTGTTATAGCAATAAACCAGACCAGACTATAGCTAGTGAAACTGTTGTCAGCCAGGCAGAAACCAGGGTGAATGTATCAAACTTTTGTGGTGTTTGTGTGTGTTGGCGTCTTGTGGTAGTAATGTGGAGAGCTAGCACTCCACAAGAAACGCGATACCAGAGATTTGAGCAGTGACAGCTGGTTGTGTGTGTGTGTGTGTGTGCGTGTGTGTGCGTGTGTGTGTGTGTATGTATGTGTGTAATCATGTATGTAAGAACAGGAATGAGGGTGGCTGCAGCTGCAGCTCAAGCAGATCATGATAAGGGTCAAAAACCAGATGCAGGTTCCTATCAAGCCCCTTCAGTCTCATAGAACACACACCCACATACACACACAAGCCCCCTGAACATGGGTCAGGTGTGCTCAGAGATATATGGGGGAGATGATGTCACAGTATTGTTATGTTTTGTCAAAAATAATGGTTCTGTCATTCTATAACTTTGACCTTAGAAACCTGTAACATTTCAGACCAACTGATCTTAGACCTGTTGTTGACATGCATTTATATGACAGCTAATTAATTATGTTATCACTGTTTGTTAGCACATTTTTGTTACCAAATTTGATGTGGTAAAATCAATTCAAGTAAAAAGTATTGTTTAATTTGATTAAAGTAACAAACTACATAAAGTTATTTCAACCAAAGTACTTTTTATGGGCTCAGTCGGGTATAATAAGCTCCTTAAAGGGATAGTTCACTGAAAATGGAAGTTCTGTCATCATTTGTCATCTCACCATCATGTTCTTTCAAACCTGCATGACTTTCTTCTGTGCAACAATAAAAGAGTTATTATAATGTTACAACTGTTTTTGTCCATATCAATGAAAGTCTGAGTCCAAAACAACTCTGGACATTTAACTTTAATTGTATGACCACACACACACACATACATACATGTATATATATATATATATATATATATATATAAATATTGTAAGAAAAATTTTAAACTGAATATTATTAATCCAATCATGGTTTATTAGTTGACCTCATTTATCTGCTAAATCTCTGAGACAATGCACTAAGACATTCTGTACTTCAGATGAATGTATGTGTGTCAAACACCCGATTGTGTGTATAAATAACAAATATGAGAAATGGAACCAGACAGATGACTAAGACATCTATGAAGTAATCATTTAAAGAAAGTCTCCTCTACCTAGTAACAGAAGAGGCAGTAAATGAAGAACCAATCATATTATTTTTCATTTTATCTTATTTTTTATGTATCTTTTCTTTTTGAACATATACTTGTGTGTTTTTTATAAACATAGATGTTTTCTTGTTTTAGACAGAGATGATTTATACAATAGATGTGCCTTTTCAGTAAATGCTGTGTCAGGGAAATTGCAAATAGGACAGACAGGCCAGGTCAAAAGGACATAAAATTCTGCCCGATAACAATAACTAACTTAGGGTGCGTTAGTCACAAGCAGTGGTGGAATGTAACAAAGTAAAAATACTTTGTTACTTTACTTAAGTAAATTTTTCACGAATCTTTACTTTACTTAGAATAAATAGTAGAAATAAATAGTGCATACTTTTTACTTTTACTTTGTTGCATTTTGCAGCAATTATTATACTTTCTACTCCACATTTCTACAACTTCTGTTACTTTTTCATTACATTTTCTGATCAGTTTTTCCCCTGCCCGTCCGTTCGTTGCACGTTTGTCTCACCAGTGACGTTTGGTTGCCATAGATACATCAACTAAATGCGTCTCGCACGCAGTGAGCTTATCGTTTATTTATAAATTGGTTTTACGTGCATACACTGTAAAATGTAACTGATGATCTTACTAATAACATTAAGTGAATAAAACTTATTTTGAATAAGTTTGTTGACCTTACTAAGTTTGATAAAGTAAGGACAACGTTTTAGCACGGTAAGTTATTAAACTCAAAAGATTAAATTAACCTCTACTTAAAATAATAAGTATGTTGAACATTTTTCGAGTGGTCATGCGCAGTTCTACCAGTAGGTGGAGCCGATTTGAAAACGTAATACCATTATTTCGGATGAGGAAAGCACATGGAAAGGTGAGTCAGTGCTTTTTATGTCTTATTTTAATGTCTGAATTGCTTAATATACACAATTGACCGTGTAATAAATGAAACAGATTAAACAATCTAGCGTTACACATGAACATTGGATGTGTTATTTTAATCAAATTCTTGGATTGTGTTGGATTGTGCTAATCGAAATGAGCAGTCTAGCATTTGCAAATCGGTAGCCTAATCGTTAGGTCCATGCTTTCAATCAAGGAACATACTTTATGATACAACTGTTTTTTGGGAGAACTATTCTTTTATGTTAATAAAACAAAAGTCACTGAAAATCACTCACTTAAATACAGTGGCTTTAATAAGAATAAATTATTAATGTATACTGTCAAGCCAATTTATAGGGTTTATCTTATTTATATATTATGTTGTGTATATGTAACGTGTATCTTTATTCCTATTTCTTTATTAACAAAGATTAAACAATTACTAAGCTTTTTATTATCATTAATTTTGACCTAAAATGTCTGCTATTCTATTTTGTTTTTAGCTTTGTTTTTTGAAAATATGGAAATTTGTTTGGCTGTAATGCAAAACAGTAAAACCAACATGAAAAGAATTGTGATATCATATTTTGCCATATCGCCCACCCCACACTTTAAATGTTTGAACACTATTGATTTATAAATTAAAATACAAAGCTGTATATTAAAAAAGTGTGTATTTTAATATTATTTTCTTCATTTGCAGAGCTTGCTTTGTGAGATGAGACATGCAAAGGAAATGTAAGTACTGTTTTTTTCCCCCTATGAAAATAGAGCTCTCCTCTTGAAGCATTATCGTATAAAACATGGAAGCTACACCAGAACTACACCATTTCCATGTCTTCACACAGACTGTTTGTGTTCATTTAAGTCATAAATATATACCTTTACGTTTATCTGAAGAATAGAGGTACATTTGGGATACTACGAGATTGAGTAAATAAGGCAATTTTCAAGTATCCCTATAACGCAGTAACCAAAAGCCTAATAATAGATATAACATTGTTCTGTTTCCTTTTACAGATCAATTCAGAGTTTATTCGCATCACAAGCAAAAACCTCAAGCAAGAATTTTTTACAGCACTTGATCAACATACAGCTCCATTTCTGGCAGTTGGAAAAAAAACTTTCTGAATTTGTGGTAAGCTTGTCTATGCTTATTTCTTAAACTAATTTTTGTAACTGTTATTTCATAAAATTTAATTCTATGTTATAAAACTTTTTTTCAGAGCAGCCATCACATTTTAAAGTACTTTATTCAGGCTAATTTTAAATTTAATTTGGTTTTCCAGGGCACTGACATCACTGCAAATCGCACAGCAGTTCTTTGTGGACTTCCCCTCATTTTTGGAGAAGACACCTCAGACTTTTTCAAAACAATATTGGCAAGTACCATTCTCTGTATATTTCTCTAATCCCCCACACATACATTACATATAGCCATTCAATTATTCTTCATTCAACTATCCCAGAAACAGACCAGACACAAACTCTTCAAATGTAATTGTACATTTTCTTGTGTGTTTGTTCTGCCATCATTGCACTGTGCATTGTTTTCTGATGTCTAATTTTCATACAATACTTTAATGTTTACCTGTTAGTTGAGTTGTATGTAGAACAGAAGGTAATGGTCCTGATTCTTTAAGTTACATGCACATTTGTGAGATTTCCTATTTGTAATGTAACTAGAATTTTAATATTTCTGTATTTTTTTTATTAGGACTGTGATTGCAACACACCCAAGATTTCCATTGGGATTATAACTGTGATGACTGAAGAAACTCAGGATTCTTCACAAGCACTGCATTTAGAGGCTTCACACACAGCAATTGTCCTAGAAGGAGCCATTGTTATGGATGAACTTCAAAAACTTCCGGATGCCATGTGCCTACTTTTTGGGCTAATATACTGTATGCGTTTAATTCGAAGTACACTCCACAGCTCAAGAACACCTTTGATTTTATTCAGAGACTGTTTCTTTCTCTGGGACACAAATTCCTGAAGCCTAAACTACAGTCACCTGAAAACATGCTGCTCATGTAAGTAAATGTTGTTTCAGATTAAAAAAAATCTGTCATAATTTACACTCCATCATCTTGTTTCAAACCCGTAAGAGAAATGGTCTAGTCTTAAAATAAATCATAAATACATCTTAATAATCTCTTTATATCTTTTAAGTTAGGGTCATCTGGACTATCAATAGAGGGACATAAAATGCTTAACTGGTTAATTTTAAATATTTGTATTTGTGTTTCCAAGAATATCCAAACTTACAGGTTTGTTATGAGATGTGGGAGAGTAAATTATGACAGATTTTTCAGTTTAGTGGCTATCCTGTTACTATCCCTTTAAAGGGTTAGTTCACCCAAAAATGAAAATTAAGTCATTAATTACTCACCCCCATGCTGTACCAACCCCGTAAGACCTTCGTTCATCTTCGGAGCACAAATGAAGATATTTTTGATTAAATTTGAGAGCTGTATCACTGCTACATAGGCACTCTAAGGGATCGAAACTTGAGGGCCCAGTAAGTCAATGAAGAAAAGGTTTAAATATTCCATGACTACAGTGGCTCAAGTATAAGTTTATCAAGCGACGAGAATACTTTTTGTGCGAAAAAACAAACAAATATAATGATTTTATTCGACTATTCCTTTTCTTCCTTGTAGGCCTGAAACAAGAGATAACGAGATTTCCATGACGCATGTGTGCGAGAAATCTTTTTAAGTCTTGTTTCAGGCCCAGAAGGAAGAAAAGGAATAGTCGAATAAAGTCGTTATTTTTGTTTTATTTCCCCACAAAAAGTATTCTCGTCGTTTGATAAACTTATAGTTGAGCCACTGTCGTCACATGGAATATTTAAACATTTTCTTCATTGACTTTCTGGGCCGTCAAGTGTCTATCCCTTAGGAGCATATGTGGTAGTGATCCACCTCTCAAATTTAATCAAAAATATCTTCATTTGTGTTCTGAAGACGAACGAAGGTCTTACGGGGTTGGTACAGCATGGGGGTGAGTAATTAATGACTTAATTTTCATTTTTGGGTGAACTAACCCTTTGAGTTTGTGGTTGTACAAAATTTCTAAAATACACAAAACATTTATAAATTGTCACTTGTCAACCTTGGTTAAAAATTCTTTTCTTGTTTTATAACAGTTGTATTGTTAAATGCTTTTGTTTAACATATTTTTACATTGCAACTTAAGTGTCAATTTTCCTGCATTACCCTAATGTTGATGCTTTTTAGTTTCATTTGCACTGCACATTTGAATTGCTTTAGGGTTAACAAGAATAACAATGTGTTTTGTGATTAAAATTGTTTGTTACATTAACAAAAAACTGTTTGGGGTGTCTGAATGACATTGTTTAGTACACTGTTGTGCATAAGGACAATTGATGAGTAATAAATAATGTTTTACCCGAGTTCAGTTTTGTCTTTTTGTCTTAACTTAATTTGTTTAGTTCAGCTTACTTCAAAATTTTAAGGCAATCGGTTTCCTAATTTTTTCCTAGTAATGTGAACTCTAATAAGAAGTTAACACAACTAATAATTTTGAGTCAACTTTACTTGAGTATACTTGATTTACAAGTTGTCTATACAAATGCTATTAAGTTGCGCCAACTAAAAATTAATACAATACTTTACTTGGAAAATTTAAGGCAATCGGTTTCCTCACTTTTCTAAGTAAAGTCAACTTGTTACATTTTACAGTGTAGGAAACACACCATGTGTAATATACGTTTGGTTAGGAGGATTATGGTAAGCCAAGAGGTTCAGAATTACACCATAAATTAATCGCGTCTACTGCCAAACAAAGTTATTAACACATAGTAAGGATAAGCATGGTTTATATTGCCTAATTGCAAGCTTGTTTCAAAAATGGTGACAACTATTTTTTTTCCATCATTATTGAACATCATTATAGGAGTATTAAGTTGAATGAGTTAGAATTAAATGTTTTCTTAATCATTAGAAAATAGTCATTAAGAAAATCAATTGTTATGCAAGTACTTTTAATACTTCAAGTACATTTAAAATCAGGTACTTTTTACTTAAGTATGGTTGTCATTGTGTTACTTCTACTTTTACTAAAGTAAATATTTATCTGGTTATTTGTACTTTTATTTAAGTACTGAGATTCAGTACTTCCTCAACCACTGGGCACAAGACAAAGAGCGAGACATGTGTGATTAAGGGGAACTGAAACTAAGTAAGAAGAGGAAGGGGTACATTTTGGAGGGTGATCTTTTGTATATAAACTCTGTAAAATGGGAAGCTCTTTGCCCTTCTCATATCAGACCCTGTCTGTGTGGGAACTGCCTTTCTTGCAAGAAATAAACATGTATACTTATGACTTTCGAGATCTTCATTGTACTTTAATTATTATTTAAGATCTAGGTACAAAAATTGCCATAACAATATATATATATATATATATATATATATTGTTTTATTTTATGTTCCACTGAAGAAATAAAGTCATACAGGTTTATAGAGACTCCATTCCAAAGATCTGATGTTGTCTGGAAAGTTTTAACTTTCCAAAAGCATTAATGCTTTATCAACAGGGGTGACAGCCAAGAACATGGTAGATATCTTTGTTCCCAGAGGCCTGTATCATATCTACATTGTAGTCAGCATATTATTTGTCATTTGTGATTATCATTGATTTGTGTTAGTCTGGTCTTGTCTGGTCAAAAGTGACTTCAAATTCAGCATTAATGGAAATGTAAGACCTGTTCACTGAAAGGTTCTTCAAGGAACCAAAATTGGTTCTTCAATTGCATCTCTTTTAGAACCTTTATTTTTTTTAAGGTTGCAGTATGATTCAGTTAATCCCTGCTGGTGGATGCCATTATTACACAACTCTGTGGGTAACAACATTGTGCAAGCAACACAATGTAGCAACTGCAAATGAGATGAATGGGATTTATATCGAATTGATTTTTCCAGGTATTATAGATCTTCTCTGAAAATGTGAAAATGTGTTAGTGCACCTTTTAAGTACAACAAGTAGTCAAGCTTGCATGTTAGTGCATGATCACATTTTCTCATTTGATTAGATCACTGAGTTCAAATGGTAAACCATTACACTGATAGTTCATTATTCAATCTCCAGTCTTTATCCCAAAGGAAGATTCGAAAGAAAGTGTCCCAGCACCCCATGTTATCTCAAACACGTAATTTGTCTTGTGCCGGATCTCTTTGATACTCAGCCCTCTAATGTTTTCATGCTTAACCTCTGTTGGGAGAAAAAAAAGTCAAGTGAACGTGGACTCACATCTGCTACTTTCTGTATTGTACTTGAACTTGGCAATGAGACAGATTGTTGAAGTGGTTATCACTTTTTGAACAGTTATTTGCATTGCTGATGGTGAATTACATGTAGCTGCTCTGGCTGAGGTGTATTTATGTATATGTATATTATTTATTTAATATGTTAGTGTATTTTCTATATAATCTTTCTGCTCCTGGAGGCCCACTGTCCAGCAATATGTAGCTCCTCCAACCAGATCCAAAACACCTGCCTGAAAGTTCTAGATCCTGAAAACCTTGATTAGCTGGTTCAGGTGTGTTTAATTAGGGTTGGAGCAAAACTCTGCAGGACAGTTGGCCACTGAGGCCTTGTCCACACGGACACGGGTATTTTTATAACCATGACTTTTTTTAACGCGGTTCGGCCATTCGTTCGCACGGAAACAAAGTATCAGGACACTGAAACCGAACATTTTTGAAAACCACTGCAGGGTGGGGATTTTCAGAAATGCCGGTTACGGTGTTGTCGTGTAGACCGTAAAACCAGGGTTTTTGCCTTGCGACGTCAGAGTGTGCACCGTTATCTGCCTACCGAACCTGTAATTACTTTTTGTTAGGCTTCTGATTGGCCAACGTGGCTTTACGGTTAGGGTTATATTGCCGCCTGCTGGTCTGGCATGCTCTTGACAGCGCTTGATAGCGTGTTTTTGCATTTTCATGTGGACGGGATTTTTTTTTTAAACGCAGGAGGATACCCGTGTCCGTGTGGACAAGGCCTGAATCACAGAGGGGTTGGCAGCATGACACTGAGATTTCTTAATGCTCTGATAGTGTGGTCTTTTACAGTTATTGATTTATTTCTTGTGTTGCTTATACATTTTATAGGAGTAAAACTAAATTTTGTCACTTGCATCCAAAACAAATTCCCAAAATGCTGCACAGTGAATAACCCTGAATAAAAGTGCCGTCTTGCACACTATGACAATGTTGCGGGGGAGGTAAAAAGAGTACTAGTGTAACTACAGATACAAGTAACAAATGTACAGTTTGCTAAATAACTTCAACAGTGTTTTTTTTTATTTATTTTTTTATTTAACTCTTTAATGACCAGGTACACTCTTAGAAAA